GCATTCTTCGTAGGTGGCGCGAACGCTTTCTCGTTTGGTGTCGGAAAGAGACAGCATGATGTGTGGTGACGTTTCTGGCATTTACGACATGACGACCCGTTGCACTAAATTGTGCTGTGGGATGGAGAAGCGCAAATATTGCATAGCTTATTATTTTGAAGGTACTGGTATCTTCTTTGAGGTGTTTCGTATTTACTGCAATGGAAAGGCTTATGGTCGCCTTTACAATACATACACCGGAGCCTTGTTGTCGGCGGCTTCCAGTGTTTGACTTTGTTGTCGAAGCTGACTGTATCTCGAGGAGGTGTTGCGCTGATCTGGCGACATACCTGTTCCTCGCTGGTTATAACCACTTCAAAATATTTTAGAAGCTGCTGCATGGTGAAAGGTTCGTCGGGAGAAGTGATCTTTTTGTGAATAACTTTACGTTGGATCCCGACTGGAAATTTCGAAAGAACCTTTTGATACATGGACTGATTGTCGACATTTTCACCTTTTTGCACTAATTGGCCTATGATGGCTTCTATGTCTTCCAATAGTCTGCGTTGCTCGTGTATGGACGACGAGTGAAGGGAGATTTTGTCCATCTTTTTGAGGAGCTGGCGAATGAGTTCTTCAGGATTACCGTACTTATCAGTGAGGAATTCTATGGCTTTTAAGTAGTTTTGCTTGGTGAGTTGGAACTTCTTCATCGATTGTAGGGGTTCCCCTTTTAAGGAGTTGAGTAGGTAATTGAATTTTTGTAGCTCTGAAAGATTTTGTGAATGTACGTTTAAGTTGAAAAGCTCCCAAAAGTTATCCCAGTCCCAGATGTCGCCATTGAATGTTGGGATTGGGATTGTGGGTAGCTCCAGATTTTTCACGACNCTATGATGGCTTCTATGTCTTCCAATAGTCTGCGTTGCTCGTGTATGGACGACGAGTGAAGGGAGATTTTGTCCATCTTTCTGAGGAGCTGGCGAATGAGTTCTTTAGGATTACCGTACTTATTAGTGAGGAATTCTATGGCTTTTAAGTAGTTTTGCCTGGTGAGTTGGAAATTCTTCATCGATTGTAGAGGTTCCCCTTTTAAGGAGTTAAGTAGGTAATTGAATTTTTGTAGCTCTGAAA